GGGGAGTGGCAGGAAGGGAGGGGTGGAAGGAAGGGTGGGTGGAAGGAAGGAAAGGAAGGGTGGGTGAAGGAAGGAATGTGTGGGGTGGAAGGAAGGGGTGGATGGAAGGAGGGAGGGGGGGGTGGAAGGAAGGGTGGGGGAAGGAAGGAAAGGGGGGTGGGTGGAAGGAAAGGCTGGAAGAAGGGAAGGGGTGGATGGAAGGAAGGAAAGAAGAGGTGGGGGGGAAGGGAGGGGTTGGTGGAAGGAAGTAAGGGTGTATGAAAGGAAGGGGTGGGTGGAAGGGAGGAAGGAAGGAATGGGTGGGTGGAAGGAGGGAAGGGAAGAGAGGGGTGGAAGGGAGGGGTGGGTAGAAGGAAGGAGAGGAGGGAGGGGTGGGGTAGAAGGAAGGAAGGGGTGGATGGAAGGAAGGAAAGGAGGGGTGGATGGAAGGAAGGAAAGGAGGGGGGTGGGTGAAAGGCAGGGTGGGGGTGGGTGGAAGGGAGGGGTGGGTGAAAGGCAGGGTGGGTGGGTGGAAGGAAGGAAGGATGAGTGGAAGGGAGGGGTGGTGGAAGGATGGAAGGGTGGGGGGGGGGGGGTGGAAGGAAAGAAGGTTAGGTTAAACTCACCAAGACTCCTTCAGAGGCATCAGAGCTGTGACTGTCGGTTGCTGTGTTCAGTTTCCCGCCCACACCTCCTCTGAAGCTGCACGGACTGGCGTGTGGGTGGGCACAGGGGGAGGCAGAGCAGATCCAGCCTCTCTCCCCTCTTCTCCTATTTGTGCGGAGGATGGAGGGAGGGGCTGGGCACTGAGAAGAACACTGCTGCGTGGGGGGGGGGGGCAGAAAGAACACTGAACCATTTTGTGCAGCAGTGGGGGACAGCGAGCAGTGTCAGGACTAGGGGTGTGTGAGAGGGGTGGCGGTGACTGTGGTGACAAGCAGCGATCTCCTGTATGGCTTTCACTGAAACAGCTGGAAGCCACATCTCCTCCTCTCCCTCCCGCGGCTTTCAGCAGGTTCATTGAAAGCCATACAGGAGATCGCTGCTTGTCAACACACCCCTATTCCCGGCACTGCTCGCCGCCTCCACCTTATTTCCACTCACCAGCAAGTGGAAATTTTGAGGGCTGCAGCCCGCAAGGATGGTTGGCAACTCTCCTTTGGAGGGGTCAGACCCCCCTGACCCCCCCCCTTATCTATGGTCCTGGCTGATATATACTGTATATATATTCACAATTGGTATGTCAGATCCATCAGCACCACGTCCAAATATAACCATATACACATATAAACAAAGGAGTGTAGGACGTTAAAGGTGCTTATATACCCTCAGGATGAAAATAAATGTATAAAAATATGTTTTTATTACACATAAAAAAATGGAATATTTGTTTGTTTCTATATATATACTGTATATTATATATCTATATATAGTCATGGCCAAAAATATTGGCACCCCTGCATTTCTGTCACGTAATGCACCACCTCTGTCAGATGTCTTGCAAATCACACCTTGAATCGGCATGTCATTTCACTTTGAAATGGTTCGACTTCACTGTAAGTCGCACGATTTCAAAGTCAGGATCGGTGTGGCCGGAGTGTAAAAGTTCTGATGTCAAATCGCATCTTACTTCCCATTACACTCTGTGGGCATTCCATTCTGTCACTTACTTTTGTCATTCCATAGAAATGAGCTATAATCCCATATAATTTCAATCTTCCAATCTGATACTCTATTTGGGGGTCACCTGTGGTAAATGGCAAATTGCTATGGTTCTCAGATTTGCCTGCAAATGAGTTTATATTTTGTGTTCCATTGTGTCCTATGGGCATTCCACCGCCCTGGTAAAGTTTATGGACATTCCATTTAGTCATTCCTCTTAGTATGTCCCGTTAAGAATACATGCTTGAACTTTGTCTTTCTACACAGTGCCACATTCTGTAGGTGTTATACAGAGGTAGGCCCCTTTCACACGGGTGTTCTGTATGTCCATTTTTCATCTGTCCATTTACAGATGAAAGACGGACACCCATGTGTTTCTATGGACTAGCAGATGTAAACGGATGACCAACATCCGTTTTTTTGAACTAAAGAAAACCCTATTTTTTTTCTGTAAACAGACCCAGAGCGGCTGTAAAATGGATGTAAACGGGCAGAAACTGATGTAAACGGACAAAAAATGAATGTAAACGTACAAAAACGGATATATAAGGATGAAAAAAAAAAAAAAAAACGGATGTAAATTGATGAAAAAAGTATGTAAACTGATGAAAAACTGATTTAAACTGATGTAAATGGACAAAATGTATATAAATGAATGATAAAAAGGATGAAAAAAGGATGTAAACTGATAAAAAAAAAAATGGATAAAAAACAGATGTAAATGGGCAAACTGATGTAAATGGATGAAAACAGATGTAAACCGATGAAAAATGAACGAAAAACGGATGTAAATAGTTGGAAAAACAGATGTAAACTGATGAAAAACTGATGTAAATGGACGAAAATGGATGTAAACGAATGGGAAAAAAAGGTGAAAAAAAAGGATATAAACTGATGAAAAGCAGATGTGAACTGATGTAAACGGACAGAAACTGATGTAAATTGATGAAAAATTTATGAAAACCGGATGTAAATTGATGAAAAAACAGATGTAAACGTATGAAAAACTGATGTAAACTGATTACAAAAAGGATGAAAAACAGATGTAAACTGATGTAAATAGACAGAAACTGATGTAAATGGATGAAAAACGGATGTAAATGGATGAAAAGTGAACAAAAAACGGATGTAAATTCATGAAAAAACTGATGTATATTGATGAAAAACTGACGTAAACTGATGTAAATGGACGAAAATGGATATAAACGAACGATAAAAAGGATGAAACAGTTGTAAACAGATGAAACAATAGATAAAAACAGATGTAAACAGACAGAAACTGATGTAAACGGATGAAAAATGGAATGAAAACTGAACGAAAAAAAAGAGATGTAAACTGATGAAAAACTGACATAAACTGATGTAAATGGACGAAAACAGGTGTAAAAGAATAGGAAAAAAAAGGATGCAAAACGGATATAAACTGATGAAAAACAGATGTAAACTGATGTAAACGGACAGAAACTGATGTAAATTGATGTAAAAGGCATGTAAACGGATAAAAAATTTATGAAAAACCGATGTAAATTGATAAAAAACAGATGTAAACTGATGTAAATGGACAGAAACTGATGTAAACGGATGGAAAACGGATGGAAATGGATGAAAAGTGAACAAAAAACTGATGTAAATTGATGAAAAAAACTGATGTATACTGATGTAAATGGACGAAAATGGATGTAAACGAACGATAAAAAGGATGAAAACAGATGTAAATGGATGGAACAATAGATGAAAAACAGATGTAAACACAGAAACTGATGTAAACGGATGAAAAATGGATGTACATGGATGAAAACTGAACGAAAAAGAGATGTAAACTGATGGAAAACTGACGTAAACTGACATAAACAGATGTAAATTAACGAAAAAAAGGATAAAAAACGGATGTGAACTGATGAAAAAATGGATGAAAAACAGATGTAAACTAACAAAAAAAGGATGTAAATGGCCGCAAAACTGATGTAAACAGATGTAAAACATGTAAACAGACAAAAAAGGATATAAACAGACAAACTGATGTAAACGGATAAAACGTATGTAAATGGACAAAAATTAACAAAAAAAGAATGTAAATTGATGCATAACTGACGTAAACAAATGCAAAACAGAGGTAAACTGATGCATAACTGATATGCACTGATCCGTTTTTTTCTTCGAAAACTTTTGAAAAAAACGGAACGCCCGTGTGAGAGGGACCGTATATCAGACTCTGGGCCGGGAAGGAACATCCGGGTACTGTGGCTTCACACTATAGAAGGGTGCAAAGAACCTTTTCCAATGAAGAGTAGAGATCTCAGCAGTTCCAGTTCTTCCCCTCTGGGTGGCAGCAGATGACCCAAGCCAACATTGAGTTCTCTCCTCAGCACTCCCACACTTCTAAGGCGCCCATAGATCGCGGGGAAGGCGGGGAAATCTCCAGACCGCGCTGCATTCTGGGTCCGATGGTTGCTGGTTTCTATGGTGACAGTAGACGCACTGCTCCGTGGACGGTGCTCAGTGTGTGTGGAAGCGGCGTGCGGTCTGTTTACATTGTGTTTTTCTCTCTCTTACCCACCTGTTTGTGGCAGCAGAATGCGGTGACTGTACTTTTCTTTTCAGGTGTTATAATGCTGCTGTGTGCGGGAAAGTGTACAGGTGAGGAGGGACTCCAGGCTGCACTGGGGGCGCCCCCACATGGCCAGATCCAGGACATCACTCCAGGTAAGGCGTTGCAGCTGCTCTCAGGCCATGCTGGTATTTGTAGTCCAGCTGGTTAGCCCCACACTGTCCTACTATTGGTTCTATTACTGTCACAGAAAATACTGGGATACATTCACATGGCTGTAAAAAAAAAAAAAAACATAAATGAGTGTGTTTCAACCCCTTGCCCTCCAGAGGATTTTTCCCCCCTTCCTGACCTGTCATTTTTTGCGATATGGCGCTGCGTTACTTTAGCTGACAATTGCGCAGTCATGCAACGCTGGACAAAAATGAAATTTATGTCCTTTTTTCCCCACAAATGGTGCTTTGTTTCGGTGGTATTTGATCACCTGAGCATTTTTTATTTTCTGCACTATAAACAAAAACAGACGGGCAATTTGGGAAAAAAAATATTTTTGCTATAAAACATGTCCAGTAAAAATTAAAAAATAATTAATTTCATCATAAATTTAGGCCAAAATGTATTCTGCTACAGATATGTGTAAATTGTGTGTAAATTAATTGGTTATAGCATCTACAAATGGCGATATAGATACTGGAATTTTAGCAAAACATTTTTTATACTAGTAATGGCTGCGATCAGCAACTTATAACGGGACTACCGGTGCTGGGATTTCTGCCACTGGGGAAGGGGGGACTGACTAAATGTCACTGACATCCCCAGTGACACCAATACAGTGATCAGTGCTAATAAAAAGCACTGACACTGTACTAATGGCACTGGGCAGGAAGGGGTTAACATCTGGGGTGATCAAAGGGTTAACTGTGTGCTGTGTGTGTTTTAATGCATGTGTTGTGTGTGTTTTACTATGTAAACATGCTACTGTGTATTTCTGTTCTGTGCTGTGCAGAGAAGTACACAGCAACATGTTACTGCTGGCAGGAGAGAGACCTGTGTTGTTTACACACAGGTCTCTCCTCTGTCAGTGTTATTCATTGATTTCTGGGTGCTGGCTGGGAATCTCTGGCCGGGACCCGGTGATCGACTTATGTAGCTGCCAATGGCAGAGCTGGTAGGGCGGCACGCGCTCCCCCTACCTGGAGAGGTAAATCACGTATATTATTATTATACAGGATTTATATAGCGCCAACAGTTTGCTCAGCGCTTTACAATATAACGGGAGACAATACAGCAACAATACAGTTCAATACAAGAGGGTTAGGAGGGCCCTGCTCCTTGGAGCTTACAATCTAGGAGAATGTATATATACGTGCTTTTGCACAGCCTTCCGCCCTGTAGCAGTATTTCTGCTATAGGTTGGCAGGGAAGCTGTTAAAGTGGTATTAAACCCACAACAGTAAAATCAGTCTGTATATGCAGTAAAGCATGCTTGTTATACTCACTGTGGAACCTAAGGGGTTAATCATCTGCATTGTGTAAACGTACTATTTGATCCTGGCTTCTCTGATCTTCCCCTTCTTCCAGTGCACTCCTCTTATCTTCTCACAAGACATAGTGTGGGGACACTCTGCACAGTCTTATATGCTTTATATTTAATGGTATACCTTATCTAGATTTACTATATGCTATCAGGTCTCTGTGGACTATGAGATCTGATTTATGAGTGCTGCATAATTCTATGACACTCTGCACATGCTCAGTTTGGTGTGCATTGCTAGAGAGGTTTTTTTTATTTCTTGGGAGATTGCTTTTTTCACCTAATGGCTTGTATACAAGTTTTGGGCAATTTTTAGACATTTTGACAAGGCACCCCTGAAGAAACCTCAAGGCACCCAGGTTGAGAAAGACTGGCCTAGAACAACTGGTTCCTCCATAGCAATTCCAAATATTTCTGAGAATGAGACTTTTCATCTATCATTCATAATTGTTTCTTCAATTTACCTCAACAGAATGCGGTAATCAGATTTCAGGAAAAACATCAACACACACCAAGATGGAGAATGATAAGGACAGTGGCTCCAGGTAATTATGATAACCCTGTCAAAGAATGAACTGTATTCGCACTGCAAGGATTCACATCCAGGATGCAAAAATACGTTACTTTGTAATTGTACTATGTACTAAAGGTGCCTACAGGTATAAGAGAATGTTCACCCAAATTGGCTGTTTACATTTGGATTGGTGAATGGTCATGTGTTTGCAGTTTTCTTCTTGAAGCTGACAGATGTTCACTGGTTGACCTACTTGGGATAAAGTTGAACAGCCAGCATAGATTTTCCCAGCTAAATTATTTTGTTATCCTTGAGAAAACCAGTGTCCTCAGCACTTTTCTGCCTTCCTTTAGTTCCTGAGCCTGTCTTTGCACAGACGTTTCACCACATTATCACATTCAGCTTTGTGACAAACAGACTGCCCAACTTGGGCTACACAGGCTCCTGCCTAGTTACACACAGGGGGGTATTTACTAAAACTGTAGAGTATAAAATGTGGTACAACTCTGCATAGACACCAATCATCTTCCAAAGCTTAACTGAACAATCTGAATTTAGAAGCTGATTGGCTCCCATGCACAGCTGCACCTGATTCTGAGTGCACCAGTTTTAGTAAATCTCCCCCCCCCCCTTCCTTTCCCATCTCCTAGTATCTCTTCAGACGACAACTTGGTCAGATCAGATTGATCAGATTGCCTCTCCTTGAGGCCAGAAGACACTTTTCCAGTGCCTGTGCTACTTCAGTAGCTTGTTTCCAGTGGAAGAAGCCCTGACCCATAGACTGCTCCATGACTTAAAGTACTGAACACAATGAGCATGCTGGTTTCCTTTTAAATGTGGACCCAAATTAGGAATGATCAATCCTGGATAAAACTGCAAACCTGTTTTCTCCACTCAGAACAGACGTCCCAGAGCCCCTGAAACTCCATATGTTGGAACCCTGGATGACATCTAACACATCTGACACCGTGACAAGGTGCAGCACTGTCACAAGATACATAGATAGATATGTGATTTTTGCTCTCTCCTAACTGGAACCTGGAATCCACACCACCAATATGTTGTATGTGACTTACAAAACCTTATAACCCCTAATTGTTGGCTTTCTCCTATTTTTTCCTCTTATGATCGCTACGAGTAAGTACAGAGATTCCAAATAAACTGTTCTGAAATCTGAACAACTCAAAAGCCAGAGGTGTGCCTTATCAAATTGTGAGTGATGCTCGAATCAAAATAAATATGGAGCTGGTAATAGGACCCATAGATTTTTTAAAGTAGACATGATCTGACCATCCTCAGCCTGTCTTAAAAGTTTCTATTAATACAGACAGGGGAAGCAAAAAACATGACACCAACTGTTAGAGGGGGACAGTTGTGATTGGAATGGGCTTTGTAACCCGTCTGTTTTCTAGTCTCCCATCAACTGCTAGTCCGCATTATTTTTTCCCAGGTATGTCTGAAATTGCCCCTACTCCAGCCCCTGTAGGCATGACTCTGGGTGATGTTCAAGGACCGTCTAAAAAGAAATCTTTGCCCAGGCACGGTCTGATCGTTCTTCAGTGTCTGTAGTTAGCTTTCGATATGAAGCTTACAGAAATCTCCATCCTTCTCTTATGGGTTCATATGGGTTCAGCTAGATTAGCAAGGTTACTGAGGTGAACTGTAAATTGGACCTCTGTAGATTGAGTCCCCAGAGTAAATAAATCAGATTTTTGATTGGATGCACAGATTACCTAAAACTCAGTGGGGGAGATTTACTAAATCTGGAGCACTCAGAATCTGGTGCAGCTGTACATGGTAGCCAATCAGCTTCTAACTACAGCTTCTTCAATTATAGGACAAATATAGTCAAAGCTTTTTTGGCTGTACTTCTCCTATGGATCACAGACATGCAGTGCTGAAGCCCGCTGTCGGCTGATGTCACAGAGCCACTCTCGGCTCTCTGCTCAGACCAGAGGGGAGAACCGAGTGATCAGCGGTGTTTGATCTCACTACAGAGATGGCGGGGAACAGATACATCATTGGATTAATAGTGCATCCACCCAGGTGAGTGTAAATGTTTTGTTTTTTTTCACAAAACCATACTTCTGTTTTAGGCTGTGACAATAAAACCTGGAAGCTGATTGGTTTCTATGCACCAGATTTAGCACGCTCCACTTGTAGTAAATCTCTCCCAGTGCGTACCCTGATTGAACTGTTTTATGTGATATTAATGAATTTTTATGGTATGTAACTAAGATTAATTACATGAATACAAATTATTTATTAAATTGTTCAAATATGTTTATTACTGGTATTGTATCTATTTTTGTCTCAGATTAACCAAAAAGTACCTGCGAGATCTATGCAAGCAGCAAAAGCTTTATATAACTCCATATCTAAATGACACTCTATATTTACATTATAAAGGTAAGTGATATCACTAATCAAGCTATTATTTCTGAAAATATCTAATATATAAATTGACGTAAACCCAAAACCCACAACTACAGTGATAAATCAAGTCCCAAAGGAATTACCTAAAAAAATTGTTATGCAAACATAAAACAATCTCAAAATAAAAAAAAATGCATAAATACAATAAAGTCCCAATACATAAAGTGTCCAAATAATATGTCCAAACTAAGAACAATTCTTGATATAGTTTGGACATATTATTTGGACACTTTATGTATTGGGACTTTATTGTATTTATGCATATTTTTTTATTTTGAGATTGTTTTATGTTTGCATAACAATTTTTGGGGTAATTCCTTTGGGACTTGATTTATCACTGTAATTGTGGGTTTTGGGTTTAAGTCAATTTATATATTAGTTATTGGTACTTAAGGGAAGGATATTGATATGACTTTAAGGGATTTTTGAGGATTTTATGTTTCTATGTGTGTTGATTTATACTTATTTCTGAAAATATGTTTAGCACTTCCAGTAGTACAACAGTAAAGAAATAGGCCTTGGTTTAAAGAAAAGTGAGGAGTGAGGACTGAGCCATAAGTAAGCTTGGTTTAACTAAGGATCCATTCACACCAGATGCACTGACATGCATTGATCAATGCATGCTAGTGCATATATATAGGAAAAATAATGTACATTTCAATAGGAGCAGTTCACACCAGTGCATTTCTCTGCTGTGCGCATCCCTGCGCTGAAAAAAGTAGAATTGACACTTTTTTTTCAGCGCAATCCAACACAACCTGTGTAAATGCATTGCACATAAACGCAAGAGTAAAAATAGTTAATTGAAGTTTTCTTCACAAATAGCTCTTAGTGAAGTTTAAAAAAAAAAATAGAAAAAGAAGTATAGCAGCGTGCTTTAAAATGCAACAAGCTTGCAAATGCATGTCAATGCATGTGCGTTTACATGTGCATAACGCACACTTTGCGGTGTGAATGATCCCTAAAGTGCTATTATCTATGGGCTAATGCAGCTTGCTTTCAGGTGCATTCAGCCTGCATTTCAGATTAATTTGAGACGTTTCTGTAATCATTCACAGTTTGTTGACAGCTACAGTTAACCTCCTTCTGACCTGTAGTCCCCATCAATCTAAGCTGTTTTTGCCTTCTCATTGACTTTAATGGGAAGAGAAACAGTTCAGACAAACAAAAGCCTGTTGACACAGGCCCTAAGTTGCTTTCACATGGATATGTTATCATAGTGAGGTAGCTTGTTAGAAATAAGTGCCTGGCAAACGCATACGAAAACGTCCAAGTTTGTCTATGCCAACTGGTATGATTTCTTTATTAACCATATTTAAAGTGATGCTAAAGGTTGGAATTAAATAGACATGTTATACTTACTTTAATAGAATAGTTATTTGTGAGCCACCAGGAGTTAACTTACTCTATTATTAGTGTTAATTGTGTGCTTAAGTGAATATTTATTAAATATTGGATCGCCAGGCACTAATTACACCCTCTCTAGGTGTATGAAATTAAACTATGAATTCTTATACTGTACCGCGCTCCAATATTATCAACCTTTTGTGATTAACCTTTTTTGGTTGTGTGAATTTCTTAATATACCACCTATAATCCAATCATTACTTACTTCTATGGTGCTTAAATATACAATTAACATAAATTAATTTATAAATATGAATTAAAAAATTATATGTGATTATAACAAATATTAATAAAAAATTAATGAAAAATTGGAATGTCAATTCTATGTGAATAAAATAATAAAACATTAAAAAAAAAAAAAAAAAAAGGGAATGTCAATTATTTTCTTTAAATTTGAGATGGTGTTGTTATTCAATTTAGTTAATGTGATAAGTCTGTGTTGGCAGCTTGAACCTCTCCCTCGTCTCCTCTCCTCTCTCCTCAGCTCAGCTTTTTCAATTGTGCTTTCTTCACTGGCTGCTTTGTTTATTCCTCCATATACGGAACATGCAGAGAAGGGAAAAGAAACAGTGTCTTATCCGGGATATAAGTGATTTATTGCTCTTTGATCTCCCACTCACATTGTGTAAATGTAAATAACGCTTTGCATACAATGTATCAAGATCGTGCTTCAGACAGCCTGGCTGATGTGTTTGCTTGCAGTAAATATACTCGCCATTCCTCTGTGGATGCGTGATAACGTCACCGCCCCTCCCCAAGGGGCGGTGACGTTATCACGCATCCACAGAGGAATGGCGAGTATATTTACTGCAAGCAAACTATATTTACTGCAAGCAAACACATCAGCCAGGCTGTCTGAAGCACGATCTTGATACATTGTATGCAAAGCGTTATTTACATTTACACAATGTGAGTGGGAGATCAAAGAGC